ACCTAGGTCTTTACTTTTCTGTTCACTTACTGGTCATTTCTTTAAAATGTCTGTACTAGTTGGAAGAACAGTACTTAAAATGTCTTTAGTATTTAGGAAGAACAGTAATTACCTCTTATTTTCTAAGTTCTCTTAACTGTATTCAAACAGTGACAGACATTATTAATCATTATCCACTATCCAGTTTTCATAGATTTTTTTAGTACATTTTATAGATCTTATTTAAAAATGACTTTGTTTTATTTTAGACAATCATTTATTTTATAATGTTTAACATTATATGTTTTGATCCTCAAAAATTATGAAATCCCTTTACACAATAATAAAGGATAGACTACTATATGTTCAAGCACAGACTACAAAACTGTGACGATTTTTATGGTGTTAGTAATTGCAAATCTCTAGGTGAATAACTTGTTTTATGTTATTGAGCCATTACAGCATAATTAATTATAGCAATATCTTCTATTTAGTGACAGTATAGGAGGGGTTGTGCTAATTGTCTCACTCGCATTTTCATGTGATCTTCAGTCACTCTGAGATCAATGTTATCTCCAATTTTTTTTTAGTTGAGGAAGTTTTATGTAAAGAGAAAAAGGAAACTTGCCCAAGGTCACTGTAAGTGGTAGAACCATTGAAATTAAGTTTCTCTGATCATAGAGCTGTGATTTTAAGGATACTCTGAAGTGCTCCTGTGAAATTATTTGTGAATTTTTGCTCATGTAAGTTATTCATAAATTGGAATTATGCATACTTTTAATTTTTAATATCCAAAGTCTATCCAAAATAAAATCAATCAGCTGTTAGATTTTTGTTAGTGATAGGCATTTTGTGTCTCGGAGTGTTATCCTTTTAGAATAATTATAATTTGGTTTAATTATAAAAATATTTATAATTATATAAATGAATTATAAACATATTTATATGTAGTTTAAAAACTAATACAGTGCTACAAAAGCTGATAATGAAAAAAATGTCTTTCCCCTCTCCAACTTGCTTTCTGGAAACAACCACTCTTAATGTTTCCTCCAGTATCTCTAGTGTCTATATTTCTAAATGACATGTTTATTCTGAAATTTCTTGACTTTAGTTTTGGGTGCATTACCATAAGACATGAGGATTTAGCTCTGCGCAATCCTTCCCTTCTTTATAACCTCACAATAGAATCACAACTTTTCATTAAGCCATTATTTAGCATGTGGGTTAGGAGTGCATAAACATTGTTTACAGCTGAGCCACAGAGTATGCTATGACTGCAAATCCTTAAATTGAGACTGACCTCGATAAAAAGAAATAATTTAAAAAAGAAGAAAAACTGATACTGACCTCGTATTTTTGGTTTTGTTTAACTTTTTATGTACCTCTTAGTCCCAGACTGGTCTCCACCGCTGTGATCACCCTCTACTACTCTGTGTCCTCAGTCACCCATACTCTGCTCCACTCCCCCACCCTCCTCATTTCCCTGCACCCTCGGCCAATGGACCCACTTCCCTCTGTGCAGCTCCCCAAAATTACTTGTGCCTCTGTGCAGCTCCCAATTCACTTCCCACCTCTCCAGCCACCATCCTGACTTCCCTGCTCCAAAAAGGGAGCCTAGTTTCATTCTGTACAGTGGGGGCCATCAGAGCTTTGTGAATGACAGAAATACCACTCCTCTGGCGACTGATGGAATGTGTACTTTGTTTCCTTGTATTTTACTATTTCCTCAACTTAAATTTCTTTATATGATAAAATATCAATAAATACAATCTACATAAAGTCCCTTTGAGAGCTTCAATAATTTAAAAAGTATGTTAATGGTTCCTAAAAATTCACCTATTTGAGGTATAAATTCAATAAACATAAAGAAGGTCCAATTCTGTAATAACGAAACGCAAAGAAGAAGACCATTTTGCTTATCAAATTAATAATTATAAAAATACTAGAAATAGCCTGTTCTGCAGCTTGGCAGAACTTATCAAAACCCAATATTCCTTTGGATCATACCCGGAAACATATCTTACAGAAATTATTGAAAATGTGTCTGAAGAGTTCAATTCAGTGTGTTTGTGGTGGATTTTTAAAATTATTTATTTATTTATTTATTGCATTTTGAAAGCTCAGAACTATGCTAAATGGCAAATGATAGAAGCAGCTCCCAATGAAAGAGAAGCAATGACAGTGTTTTCTTCCCCCCAACCCCTCAGGGGTCCGCGTCCCTTGAGTGCCTAGTGCTGGCCGCGGACTCCTCAGGTGTGGGCAGCCTTGCTGGGGGAACCCCACTGTCCTCGCCCCTGGGAAGCTCATCCAATGAATGTCGAATAATAAATAACCAATCTGCATAGAGCACATTGAGTAATTAGTGGGTTTGTTGTTTTACCAAAAACATGTATAGCTTTTAGCTTTTAAAAATAGTTCTGGAACACAGCAAGACAGAGAAAAGGAAAATTGGCCTAGACAATACAGAGGACAGGAGATGAACAGGGTTGATTTCATTCTGGGCACTTTGCCCAGGACACTTTTAATAGAACATATAGTTACTCTAGGGATTTTGAGTCTGTGGTTATGTCAGCTTACCAATTTACTCTTTAAAAGGAAATTTTGCAAGTTATTAGACTCTAGGTACATTGGCATGGCTTAAATTTTTAAAACTGTTTCTGTAATCGACCCATTAAGAATTTGCTGTGTTGGGGCTGGATTCCTTGATATTAAAATTAACTTAATCATGAATAGAAAAAATATTTTGAATTTCCTTCCTCTAAAAACACATGTTCTTCTTTTCTGTTAAAGTTTAACTCAAGTTTAAAAAAATATCTAAACTGGGAATAAGGTTATTTTTATGTGAAGAGTGTTTACCTTACTATACTTAAGGAATTTCTTTGTATATTCAGGAATCAGTCAAGTCTTAAAAAAAAAAAAACTTAAGATTTTAAAAATGTCTTAGTTCCTATTTTACTACCTTACAATATTGCATTGCTGACCTTAGATTTAGCCTTAAAAATTAGGAGGGAGATACCAACATGGTAATAAAACTTGCATTGGGATAGTGGCCTTGAGTGAATTTTTCCATTTTTCTGTTTTATAAAATTTCTGTACTATGGTCATTATTTTTATTCATAAATTATTTATAACCCTCCCCTCCCCAAAATTAGCTTTAAAAAGGACTGGGCATTTAAAAGGCTAAGACTCTCAAAGAATTATGTCATATTATGTAATATGGATGTTTTGTTTTAAAGTAATGGGTTTAAGTTTAAAAAGACAAGGTCTTACAATTGAAATTTTCTTTTTTTTTTCTTTTTTTTTTAAAGATTTTTTTTGGCCTCCCTGGTGGTGCAACAGGTTGAGCACAGTGCTGTGAAGCTGTCCACAGCCTCTGCAGAGCTGGTTCAATTCCTGGCCGGCTAGAGATTTTGAGTCTGTGGTTATTGCAGCTTACCAATTTATTCTTTAAAAGGAAATTTTGCAAGTTATTAGACTCTAGGTACATTGGCATGGCTAATGTAGACCTCTCCTGTCTTGCTTGCTACTCCCCTCAGCAGTGTATTTCAGTCAGTCTGCCTGTTCTGTTCCCCGCTCTGTCTCTGGTGAATCCTCTCACCCTCCCACACCTTTGGCCTGTACCCCAGTTCTTGTATAAAATAAAATATTTTAAAAATAAATAAAGATTTATTTTATTTATACAATAGCTGGGGTTCAGGCCAGAGGCGCAGGAGGGTGAGAGGATTCACCAGAGACAGAGTGGGGAACAGAACAGTCAGGTAGACCGAAGTACACTGCTGAGGGGAGCAGCAGGTGAGATAGGAGAGGTCTGCCTCGTCATGTGGGTTGCTCCCTGGCGAGCCTGGAATCAAACCCGCGCTGCAGAGGCTGCGGACAGCTTCACAGCGCTGCACTCAACCCGCTACGCCACCGGGGAGGGCTGGAAATTTTCTTTTTAATGTAACTAATAAAAAGATAGTCAAAGCAAAAAAAAATATATATATATTTTATGTAGTAAAAATAGCTGAAAATTTTTAGTACCAGTGGTATTTAAGAGGAACTTAGTGGTGGTTGTTTTTAAGTATTATGTTCTGTTTCAGCAATATCAGAGATTTTTCACATTTGCTTCTGGCACTTGCTTCTCAAATCAACTAGTACTTTTAATAAACTGGCACCTCAGGACCTTTACACTTGCTGTCTCTACTTGAATGTTCTTCCCTGCCTTTTCCTCCTTCCTCTAACACACTCCTACTTCTTCAGTCTTGGCTAAAATATAATTACTTGGAGAAGTTTGTCATACCCTACCTTTCCTGCCTTCATCCCAACACTCTGTTACTTATTCTCAGGGCCCCTTCACTTCACTATAATGTTCACCACGGTTGTAAATATCAGGTCAGTGTTTGCCTTCTCCACTGTTCTTTAAACTTGATGAGGGCAAGTCCCGTGAGTTTCTCTTTATAGGGTTGTATTCACAGTGTGTAGCACAGTGCCTAATACATAATAGTCAACAAATAGTACCTATCAAATGAACACATTTAAATACTCATTTCATTTGCTTTTCTAAACTCTAATGGGTATTACTCAATAACGAGGTCTTTCCATTAGAGTAGAGTAATTGTAACTCTAATATCACTCAAAGGTAAATACCTGAATTAAGCAATTGTGAATTCCCAAACTTGTAATATTAACATTTGGGATGAGTTTCATCTCAATGTCTCAGAATTGCTTTCCTATTTTTTCTTCTATTTTTCAAAAAACATTTTATTTTTATAGGATTGGGTTTCTGCTTTCCTAATTCTTATTTATAAAGCCCAAGATGAGTAGGTTTGTATAAGGATTTACATTATTATGATGGCTCCAAAAAAAAGTATTTTAATTGAGCAGTTCATCTTTTCAAGTTTTCTACTAAAATTAAGTTGTTATTATATAATTGCAATAGATGTTAGTAGAAAAGATAATTTTTCTTCTAACAGATTTAGGTTGTATCTGCTTTTAGCAATGACTTTTCTACTCATTAAATTGTGTACTGTCTTCTTTTACAGTTCAAACGATATGTCAGTAAACTTCGAAGCAAGAGCACAGTGTTCAAAAAGAAGCATCAGATAATAGCTGAATTCAAAGCTGAATTTGGTCTCCTTCAGAGGACAGAGGAACTTCTTAAGCAACGTCATGAGAATATTCAACACCAACTGGTATTTACATCTCTGGGTGTTAAAAATACAAATGCCAGGAGGTTTATATGTTATAGCTTTGTACCAAGGGTAGTATTTTAATTGGAAAATCATAAAATTATTCATTTTCTTTAATTAATTATGAGATGTCATATAAGCTGATTTTAATGTGACAGTAAACACCAACTTTTTGATGTGTGCTGACTTTGGGGTCATATTATTAATAGAATTTGAATTCCAAATAGGTTTTTCTTTTGCTTAGCTAGTTAATGTAAGCAAAATTATACTACCAAGAGAGTTGCTATAATACTTATTTATCATGGCCTGCTGGGCAAAAATTTCTAAGCAGCCACTTCCATGAAGCTTTGAAAAGAAATACCCCAGGAAGGTGCTCTGCGGATATCTGCCTGTGGGTTTATGCCTTGTGTATTTGTGCTTTGTTTGTCAGAAAAGAGTTAAACCCAGAGCAGTCCTTCTCCCAACGAGGTTGTTCTCATGGTGGATGCCAGTTCCTCTGAGTTTTCTTGGTTTCACTTTTTTTTTATTTTCACCTGTGGGAAAATTATTTCATTGGGATACTGGCTTACCAGCTGGCAATAATCTGGTAGAAAAAAATGAAGTCTCAACCCTTGTGTTTAGCTGATATTAGGAACTTTTCTGTCTCATGCTATTGAATTTTTTTTTTAAATATTTATTTATTTATTTATCCAAGCACTGGGTACAGTCAGAAGCATGGGAGAGTGAGAGAATTCACCAGAGCCAGAGCTGGGAACAGAACAGCAGACTGACAAAATACACTGCTGAGGGGAGCAGCGAGTGGCAGGAGAGGTCTGCGCACCCTCGCCCGGCACTGCAGAGGTTGCGGGCAGCTTCGCAACCCAGCGCTCAACCGCTGCACCACTAGGGAGGCCCTGTTGAATATTTTTTACTTGTAGGAACTGAAGATTGAAGATTTATAAAAATTTTTTTTTTTAAAGATGGAAAATTTACCATGAATCACACATCGATTATAATGGCACTAAATTTTTTCATTGATGTGTAGCAATTGCATTATAGTTTACTTCAAAATATCTTCTAATTTCCATTGTGATTTCTTGGACCTATTGGTTATTGCTTAAGACCATGCAGTTAGGGGCCTCCCTGGTGGCGCAGTGGTTGAGCGCTGGGTTGCGAAGCTGCCCACGGCCTCTGCAGCGCCGGTTCGATACCCGGCTGCTACCCGCCATCGGAGGAGGGTCCCACATGGCGCACAGACCTCTCCTGCCACCCGCTGCTCCCCTCAGCAGTGTACTTCGTTCCTTCTGCCTGCTCTGCTCCCTGCTCTGGCTCTGGTGAATTCTCTCACCCTCCTGAGCTTCTGATTGTACTCAGTGCTTGTATAAATAAATAAATAAATAAATCTTTTTTTTTTTAAAAAAAAAAGACCATGCAGTTAGGGATTTTCTAGTTACCTTCTGTCATTTATTTCTAGCTGATTCCACTGTGACCAGTGAACATAATGTGTGGTTTCAGCCCTTTGAAACGTGTTGAGTGTTGTGTTACAGCCCAGCATATGGTTTATTTTGGTCATTGTTCCATGTGCAGTTGAAAAGCTTGTCTATTCTGCAGTTGTTAGGGATGGTATTCTAAATTTGTCTATTCAGGGCCGCCTCTGGTGGTGCAGCGGTTGACAGCGAGAGTCCCACATGGCACGCAGACCTCTCCTGCCGTGCCCGCTGCTCCCCTCGGCAGTGGATTTCATCAGTCTGCCTGTTCTGTTCCCAGCTCTGGCTCTGGTGAATTCTCTCACCCTCCCGTGCCTCTGACTGTACCCAGTGCTTATATAAATAAATAAATAAATCTTTAAAAAAAAATAAATTTGTCTATTCAGTCAAGCATAATATTCAAATCTTCCTGTTGACGTTTTGGTCTGCTTGTTTCATCAGTGATTGAGAGAGATGTGTTAAAATCTCTAACTAGGATTGTTGCTTTCCCTGTTTTTCCTTCTAGTTTCATCAGTTTTTACTTCATGTTTTTTCTTAAGTTGGGCTCCCTAAAAACAGAACCTAAGAAGGGAATACTTGGTGCAAGTGGCTTGTTGAGGGAGAGAGTGTCTCAGAAGGAGGGGCAGAGAAAAGAGACCATGGGGCAGCAGAAGACAGCCCAGCCCAGGACATAGTCCCAATGGGAGACTTCTACCCCCCTGTCAGTCTGTCATTGCTGTGGCAGGGTAGAACTCCCTAGATAAGGAGCAGCCCCCCTTGGCCTGAGGGCATTCCTTGAAGGAGGGGTACCTGTGCATCGGCAGCAGTCAGCATTCACGGCAGCTTGCATACGAGGTCTGAGTGGGACACCAACTACCGTCCACCCCTTGTACTACTGACCAGCTCATTTGTACATTAAATTCACTTCATCTAGGTATGGGTGGTGGCTCTAAAGGGTTCTGGTTGGTGAGAATTGCTAGGAAAATTTACAGGAGGCTAGTTAAAATGAAAACAAATTAAAACTCTCATTGCTCCATTTGGCCCCAAGGACATACTTTTTTTTTTTTAAAGCTTTATTTATTTATGCATACAAGAACTGGGGTACAGGCCAGAGGTGCAGGAGGTAGTGTGAGAGGATTCACCAGAGACAGAGTGAGGAGCAGAACAGGCAGATTGACTACAATACACTGCTGAGGGAAACAGCGGGCAAGTCAGGAGAGGTCTGCTGCACCGTGTTGGCAGCTCTCTGTCTGGGGATCAAACTCTTGCTGCAGAGGCTGTGGATAGCTTCAGAGTTTGCGTCTTAACCCCTTGCACCACCAGGGACACCCCCCCAAGGACATACTTGATTCTCCACATCTTCTTCTACTGCCCGCTCTAGATTTCCCTCACCTTTGGCTAGCATTTCCGCTTAGCTGGCTGGCTTTCTTGGTAGGATGACCCAGTCCCTGGTCTTTAAGAAGTGTGAGACTTCAGTAACCAAGCCCGTGTTGTGCTTGTTCTTAGCCACTTTGATTAAAACTGGACATGAAAGTACCAAGATTTACCCTGAACCACCTGAGAACCAGATGTTTTGTTACCTGCCCCGTCTGTGGCAGCATCTTTTATAGCCTTGTGATGTTCTGCCGATATAATAACTGCTTGCTTTGCCTACTGGCCTATTGGCACGAGGAGCTCAAGTGACAAGATGGTAGCCAGAGCATTAAGTGTACAGGGCCTCTGACTGTGTCTCCTGGTGGAAGCATGCCGCCAGACATCTGTACACACGGAACCTGAACTTGTCAAGAAGGGAGGCGTCATTCCTTCAGTAGATAAGTGGGAGTCCTGGTAACTGGTGACAATCATACTTTTATTCATGGTTCCAGGACCCATGTGCCTATCTTTTTGGAACATAGGGCTGTATAATGTCATGGGTTTAAGGTACGCACTTCCTCCTAAAGAATAGAACTCATACTTTCACATCAGTTTCCAAGCTGGCACCTTAATTGTACCTTCAAGAGGCCCTTCCACTTTTCTGTCCGACTGTTAGTTTTCTGGATGGTGTGGTATTTGATCCAGCCATCGACTCCTGTGATCATGTGTCCCCCACCATAGCTCCTTTGGTCTGAGGTGATATAATATGGATTGTAAATCCGTAGAGCAGACCCTCTGAGTCCTTGGATAGTAGTGCTGGCTGAAGCACTGTGGGCCAGAAAAGCAAACCCATGCCCGAAATATAGGTCAATCTCAGGATGAAATGCTGCCCTTTGCAGGACAGAAAGGATCTAATGTTAACAATTTGCTACTAACTGGAAGATTGGATTCCTCAAAGGATGATGATTCCCTAACCAGAGCTTAGGATTGGTCTCTAATGCTGCCAGGTCAGACAGCACAGTGGCACCAGTTAGGAGAGGGAGAGAGTGGAGAGAGAGACAGAGACAGACGACTGTGGTATTTGGCCTGTACTTAGTCTCAATCTCTGGTAATATAGTGACCGTGTTTGTGAGCCCATAGTTCAAGCACCGGGTGACCAGTGGCAGAAGCTAGCTGACATCTGCCACTCTTCTCTCACTCGGTGTTTTAGCGCCTCTTCTGCTGCAGAAATCCTCTGGTGGCCATTAACGTAATAAGAAGACCTTCACCCAGGTCTGCTCCCACAGGTCCCACCACATGCCTCGTCCCCAGACCTCCTTTTCCCCAGTCTTCCAGTCTTGCTATCTTGTTTCTTTCAGGCCCCTGACCAACAAGCGAAGCAATTTGCTACTGCCAGAGGATACGGGATAATCTCAGGTTCAGGGCTCTCTCGTGGATCTACCCAGCTATCCCCACTCCCAACACAGACTCTCTCTCTTCCCTATCAGGGCCTTGACTTGGGCATAGAATATTTGCCTAGATTAAGTATTAAGCCTTCTCTGAAGTTTTGCCAGTCTTTTAAGTCCCAGGCCTGTTTTTCAGCTTCCCCTGCCCTTTATCCATAGGAACTAGGGATTTCTTTAAAGCTCCAAAGGAGGTTCTTTGACCTCATTACTTCTTCCTTGAAAGAGCTTTTTTTTCTTCTTTCAGATCACCTTGATCCAGTTTAGTTAGAGCTGGTACTTTTCCAGTTTTCTCTTGTTCCTAAGATGTAGCCCTATACATGTGGAGGGAGACTTCACCCCCAGGAAGAAGTTCTTGCTCCTATTCCCTAGCTGACTCCTCGATTACAGTCCTTGCTCCAAAGGAGTAGCTCCTCTGAGGTTTTGACTGCTGGTCTGGGGCATTTACTAAGGCCCCCTGCACTTGAACAGATCTTGAATTCCTCTCTCCAGAGCGCGACGAGCAGTCTGAAATCTCTGCTCAGCTCTTTAACAACCCATCTGCTCATCCCCACGTGGTTTCTATGAGTCTTACTCTGCCTGTGCATGCTTAGGATTGGTAATGCCAAAGAGGAAATTGGTTCAGAATTTTGGGCTAATTCCCTGTCATTTCCACTGCTCCTTTAGGCTCCAGTGTTATTGATCGCACCAAATTCCATCCCTTCTTCCATTCTCTCTCGACTTATCTTGAGTTTTTCCTTTAGGCTCTTCCATTCTGCTTGGTTTTTCATACCTATCATTCCACCAGAATTTCTCATCAAGGTCTCATCCAGTGCCTTCATATTGCTAAGTCCAGTGGTCATTTCTTAGTCCTTTTCCTGCTTGACCTATTAGCAACATTTGACATAGTTGAGGACCCTTTCTTGCTGTAAAATTTTCATTTACTTGTCTCCTCATACAAGTACTTCACCCTGCTTCTTCTCCCTTGCCAGACTCCTGTCCCTATTCCATGGCTGATTGTCATTTCTTCAAGCTCCAAATGTTGGCATTCCAAGGGTAGCCCTTGGGTCCCCTCTTTAACGTTACTCCCTTAGTGAGTCTGTCCTGGCTCATGCTTTAAAGACCCTCCACTTGCAGACCACTCATAAATTTACACATGAAAGCTAGATTTCTCCTCAAATTCCTATCTTATACATTTATCATTTTGATCCCTCTACTTAACATGTCCAGAACTAAGCTTTGGTCTTCACTATTCCCTTAAACCTGGTCTAAACCCTTAAACCTAAACCCTAGTCTTCCTCACCTCAACAAATGGCATCTCTACTCTCTCAGTTCTTGAGGCCAGAAGCCTTGGCTTCATTCTTTGCCCATCATTTCTTTCTTTCTTTTTTTTTTTTAAAGATTTATTTATTTATACAAGAACCAGGGTACAGGCCAGATGTGCGGGAGGGTGAGAGGATTCACCAGAGACAGAGTGGGGAATAGAACAGGCAGACTGACTGAAACAAACTGCTGAGGGGAGCAGCGGGTGAGACAGGAGCGGTCTGCCGTGCCATGTGGGTAGCTATCTAGCTGGCCGGGGATCGAACCCGCACTGCAGAGGCTGCAGACAGCTTCAAAGCGCTGTGCTTAATTGCCTGAGCCACCAGGGAGGCCCTGTTCATCATTTCTGTCACCACTCACATCTAGTCGGCCATAATACCCTGTTGGATCTGTCCTCAAAATATATGTAGGACAACTTCTCATCACCCCTCCTACCACCAGCCTGGTTCGTGCTTATGTCATCTCTCGCCTGGAATATTAGAATAGTCTTCTAACCAACATTCCCGTCCCACATTATTCCTCTCTAGTTTGATCTCAGCACAGATGTTAAAGTGACCATTTAAAAATTCTACCCCCTCTCTATGGGCCTCCCTGGTGGCCTAGGGGTTAAGTCTCAGCACTATCACCACTGTGACCTGAGTTCAATCCCCAGCCAGGGAGCTAATCCACATATGGCACAGCAGACCTCTCCTGTCTCACCCACTGCTCCCCTTAGTAATGTACTTCAGTCAGTCTGCCTGTTCAGCTCCTTACTCTGTGTCTTGTGAATCCTCTCACCCCCTGCACATCTGGTCTACACCCCAGTTCTTCTACCCCAAAATAAATAAATAAAATCTTTAAAAATAAGTAAATAAAAATGAAAATTCTCCTGTCACTTCTACATTAAGCCCACTATTTCATTTAAAATAGTTCAAGCTCTTTCATTGGCCTAAAAATAAGGTAATGATACAATTTGTCATTTAAACTAGGGCATTTTGCGAATGCAAAGCACAGTAGACATAAACCGAACCTGTGGCAGCAAACGAGCTGAGGCCTGTATGACTCCTTTCTCCTCCCGGCCACGCTCACACTTGCTTTCAGCTTCACTCACCCCCAGGCCGTTTCTTACAAGGTCAGGGGTGCTACTTTCTGCCTTCTGCCTCTTGCACTTGCTGACCTCCTGGATTCTCTCCTTCAGGGTATTTTGCTCAGATATCATCATCTTAGGAAATCCCTCTCTAATGTCCCTGTTAAGGTTCAATCCCATTCTCACCTCACTATACGTGTTTTACTTGCTACATGTCTTATATTTACTCCCACAACAAGTAAGCTCTCTGAGGGAAGGGGCCCTTCCCCTTGTTTTTTCACCACTGTATATCTGGTGCTTAGGACTGTTATTAACACATGTAGGTGTATAATAGATACAAGGTGAGTGAGTGAATACACATAAAATTGATCACTTGAGAATACATTCATTCACCACGAGAGTTTCCTATGTTTTTGATTCTGTGCTAAGAACCTAGCATTATTCTAGGCCTAAAATTCGAATATTTCCTGTGAGTCTGAAGATACCATAGTAAAATTTGGTGTAAGTTTATAACATATAAAGATGTAGAGTTATTCTTGAGGTTAATACATCCTGCCTTTTAGGATTCTAAACTAATTTACTTTGTTTAAAACTTTTTTGTATGTTAAAATTTTATATATTTTTTAAAAGATTTATTTATTTATTTATTCATCTATTTATTTATACAAGCACTGGGTACAGTCAGAAGCGCGGGAGGGTGAGAGAATTCACCAGAGCCAGAGCAGGGAGCAGAGCAGGCAGAAGGACCAAAGCACACTGCTGAGGGGAGCAGCGGGTGGCAGGAGAGGTCTGCGCGCCATGTGGGACCCTCGCCGGTGGCTGGGGAGCAGCCAGGGATCAAACCGGCACCGCAGAGGCTGCGGGCAGCTTCGCAACCCAGCGCTCAACAACTGTGCCACTGGGGAGGCCCTAAAATTTTATATTTCTTGGGGAAACATCAAGGTTTTCACTCCTATTTTGTGGCTCCCATTTTTGACACCTATTTTTATTCTTTTAAAGCAAACTATTGAGGAGAAAAAGGGTATTTCTGGATACAGTTACACTCAAGAAGAGCTAGAAAGAGTGTCTGCACTGAAAAGTGAAGTTGATGAAATGAAAGGACGAACCCTGGATGACATGTCTGAAATGGTGATCACCTTTTGGTTTTTGCTGTACAGAGGGCAAATGTTTTATGTTTTAAGTATTTTGAATATCACTTCTTTTATGTTTATGTATCTTTTATATGACCTATAGAATTATGTATTTTTTACTTATTAAAACGTGATTGTAGTTGTATACAGGCAACTTTATAATTTGTTTATTCAACCTTAGATTTAAATATTTTCCCATAATGGTTTGCAGTCTTAATAATTGATATTTTGAATAGTTAAATGGTATTCCATCTTACTGAGGAATCAGGATTTACTTAATCACTTGCCCATTATTTGGCATTGAAGTAATTTATTAGGTTTTTTTTTTTTTTGCTCTTACATATATGACATTTCAATAAATATCTTTATACATGTAGTATTTTTGTAATTTGGAGTTTTATGTCATCTGTGTTATTTTTTCAATGACAGGTGAAAAAACTGAATTCACTGGTATCTGAAAAGAAGTCAGCTCTAGCCCCAGTTATAAAAGAACTCCGACAACTGCGTCAGAAATGTCAAGTGAGTGAATTTGATTTTGCAGTACTTTCAGTACTCTATCTTGTTCAGACATATTAGTTAGAACATTTTACTTGGATAATTTATAGAAAATAAGTCATTATTATTATTATTATATTGATATAATTCTGCAAAAGAAAGTAATAGTGTGACTTACCAAGGCTTTTGTTTAATTTATACTATTTATTTTGTCATGAATTATTGGGAGGAAAGAAGGAGTTTAAGCTGAAATGACAGATGTAGCTAAATGAGGTTTCACACTCATATGGACATGAAGTCACGTTTTTCTGTGGACAGGTGGAAGCTCAGAGTCTGCCAATAAGTGAAGACAGGTTAACTTTTGATTAATAACCTTGCTTTAAGGAGCAGAGTCAGGACAGCTATGATAGCTTATGATAAATGATGAAATACCATTATTTGGAAGCTAATTTCAACCACTGCTTTAAAGGCAAACTGTTAGAAGGTAAATAACCTTCACAATTTTGATCAGTTGGCCTCTGTGGTTGACATTAGAAGTTGTTTTTTTAATCGCTTTTCACGTAGTAATTTTAGGTTTGAATGAGCATGCCTAAGAATGAAATTGTGAAACTCTTCGTGAATGCCATTCATCAGAGTCAGAGAAGCAAAGTAAAAAAATCCATGGACTTTGAAATCAGTTAGGCATCATTTCCTTTTTATAGAAAACGCCATAGAGTCTGAGACAGGTTTAGTGACTTGTCCACACAGACAAGTGGGAAGTGAGGGAGCTGGGACTTGACTGTCGCTTGTGTCATTTATTCAAATCTGCTTGTTCATTACACCGTCATCACAAAGGAAGTGGGAGAGGCAAGGCCCTGTTTTCTGGAGTGTATTGTCTGATGTGTGAGATGGATAAACACTTGAAGAAATTCAGGAAAAAGGAAAGGATAATCCAACTTAAGAACAATAAAGAAAAAGTATAATCAGAATTATATAAACAGATAAGGAAAGGGGTGCCAAAAAGTGTGCTGTCAAGAAGGAAATGCTTCTGATTGAGACATCAAGAACTGTTTTCTTGGATATGTTCTAATTATTAGTTTTCTTTTCTTTTTTTAAAAAAGATTTATTTATGCATGCATACAAGAGCTGGGGTACAGGCCAGAGATGAGGGGGTGAGAGGATTCACCAGACAGAGTGGGGAGCAGAACAGGCAGACTGACTGAAGTACACTGCTGAGGGGAGCAGCGGGGAGACAGGAGAGGTCTTCGGCGCCTTGTGAGTTGCTCCCTGGCCAGCCGGGGTTTGAACTCATGCTGCAGAGGCTGTGGATTGCTTCATAGTGTGGTGCTTTTTGTCTCTAAGTTCCTTACTAAGGAAAAGCATATTGATTTTTTTTTTTTTTTGTGTCCCTTCTTCATATGCTCAGTTTTTTAGTACTTTAGTTAAAATATGTTTATACTTTAGAAAAATGCTTAATGACATACATATTGTAACATTTTTTACTGGCATTTTCCTTATCACATTGGTAGAGAGGTATTGATTTTCTTAATGCTTTTCCTTAGTAAGGAACTTAGAGACAAAAAAGACTGATTATATGTATTTCTAGTGGTGATAAAATTTATCCCTTTTGGTAGGCTAATAAATCTGTTTGAAAATTATTAAATTGATTTACATTTTAAATGAAGATTGTTATTGAAAGAATATATAGGACATTAAAGGAAATGTGCTATCATGGAAATCCAAGGATCAGAACTACAGTCTGTCTGGAACAGATAGAGGTGCTGTAACCAGAGAGCATTTTGCTTTAGGGAAGATTCAGGAACCATAGTAGTAGGAGCTTGTGGATGATGATGGTGAATATGGTAGTAATAACATTTGCTAAGTGCTTTAGTCCTCACAGCCACCCAATGAGATAGGGACTCCCTTTATGCAAATAAACAGATAAAGATACAGACAGGTAAGGGACTTGCCCAAGGTCACATGGCTGGCAAACAGCAGAGCCAAGGTCTTTATACTAATACGATAACAGTAACACTCCTCAGTGAATCTGTTTGTATTGGCTTCTCCCTCTGTTCCTACCACTAGCCACGTTTTCCTCTTCAGTTTATTCTCTCTACATTTAAAGGTCTCTATAGAATTAAATAATTGCTTACCAAACTCTTGTGAAATGTTAGTGCTTTCTAATTTGTGCATTTAATGGTCACAATAACCATGAAATAGTTTTCAGATTTTATACAGATGAGGAAACAGGCTTAGAAGTCAAATAACTTGCATAAGATGACACAAGCGAAGGGTCTCACACTGCAGTCTGCTGAGTGCAGAGCCCTGCTTTACACCAGCCATTCTGCTCCACACACAACTCTTTTGAAATACATTGCTGACTTACAAGTTCAGGACCTCCTAGTGTACGTGATTAAATTGTTCCATCTATCAATAAAGGCCATGGGGGCATGTGAAGCATAGAATTAGGGTAAACTTTATAGCATGTTATAACTGGGAAACTCTTCAGTGGGTAAAAGGCAAATGGCGCCAGTTGCACCAGCTTATAGGGAGATAATCTGGATAGAATGATTGAGAACATAGCCTACAGAGTCAGGCAGACCCTGGAAAACCATGGGTAGCTGCCTTCATCTCTACAGACTCCAGTGTCCTCATTATAAACTAGTCCCTTCCTAATAGGGTGGCTGTAAATAAAATCATACCCAGAAAACCTTTGCAACAGTGACTAATACGTAAGAACTTTTTAAAAAGGTATTTAAATTATGATTATTAAAATTAGTTTTAAGGGAAGGAATATTATTTCTTTTCAACTAAATTGTTTTCTAAATATACCAGAACTGAATTCTATAAAATTATTTCTTATGGTAATATAAGCAAAAACTTTTCATATGCTCTAACTAGATTTCTCTGTCTAAGAAGCACTGCCTGCCTCATCCATTACACAGAAAGGGAGCTGACTCACCCCGCTCCCAAATAAAACAGCTCTCCAGTTCTTGCCATATTCATCACGTGGAGAGATGCCTAAGCCAGCTAAACATTTAGTCTCTTGTAAACTATTAAGTAGATACACTGTGTAATTCCATTTATGTGAATTACCAAGAATAGTCAAATTCAGAGAGACAAAAAGTAGATGGTGAGGCCAGGGGAGAGGGAGGAGAGTCTGGAGACAGAGCAAGGTGATGGTTGCTCACAGCGTAATGCCACCGTGTCGTGCCATTGAGCACCGTTAGAGGGGTGACTTATTTTATGTATATTTCATCACAATAAAAGGAGAGTGTAGAACTTGCAGCCTTCTTTTGATGTTTGAATTCAGGACATTTGGTCAATGTCCTGATCTCATTTTACTTTTCTCCACGTGTCTGTTTCCTTCATCCAAGTATAGCTCTGCTTTTGCCCAGGAACCTTTTGTGTTAAAAAGTTTACTGAAAAGAGTCGGCCAATTTACTGACTGTATGCTGTTTCCAAGTATTAACTGAAAATCTTAATTGTCCTCACTTTTAGTATATTTAACACTCAAAACTATATAGATGCACTATCATATTGTAAAAGGATAGTACTTAGAAGTACGTCTTGCTTCAGTGGAGACCTCTCAAGTACTTAGGATTTTCATAGTGAACTGTTAGTACAATTTCTTTCTGTTGTACTTGCGTGTTGTCCTAAATTTGAATATTAACAACTTGTTGAAAATTTAGAGCATCACCACATACTTATCTAAATCTTTTATAATTATCCAAATTAAAATAGCATCTTGAAAAGCTTCATGTTTCTTTTTTTGATTATTGAGGTAACATAAGTCTACAACAGTGTATATGATTTAGGGGAACAGGTTCACACCTCTTCAGATGAGTGTCACCACACCATACCCACCACTGAGGCACCCTGATCCCAATACCTCTCCCATGGGGCCCTCTCCCCTTTCTTCTTATCTCCTCCTCTCACTCCCCCACTAGTAGCCTCAATTCTGCAACCAGATTTCTAGCATTTGTTTTGATTTCTTTTTGTCTGTCCTTTTTGTTTTGTTTCTTTGTATTCCACATCAGAATGAAATTATCTGGTATCTGCTTTTCTGACTTCCTTCACGTCTAGGAGCAGTTCTGTCTATGTAATAAAATGATATAATACATGTAATGGCTAACATGGAAAATGCTCATCTTAGAATATACAATCTGATAATTGATTTCACTAAAATATTTCTTCTTGATTACTTTTCCTCCCAAAAGTAAAGACATGCTCTTAGCAAGAATTCAAACTGTACAGAATTTAGGGGAAGAATAGAAACTATTTCTTTCTCTGCACTCCCAAGTGTCCACAAGTCATAACTCTTTCTTATTTATTTTCCAAATATTCTTTGACAATTAATGAATGGGTAATTATTTATTGTGTTCTACACCTTTGTTCTACTCTCTAAAAAGCAAAGGCATTTTTTTTGGCCAGCATTCAACTCTGACTGATACTAAGACCAAAATGTCTGCTCCCTTTTGTTTGTATTTGTCTGCTGTGCTTTTGCCTGTGTTTTGCTTTCAATTTTTTAACAATTACATTGTTTTTGATGTGTTTCTGAATAGGGATTGAATTGGGTTTTGTTATGTGATATAATCTGAGGTTGGTTTTAATAGATAAGTTTAACCCATTTATACTTACTGACATGCAGACACATTTGATCTGAGTACATTTTATGTTTTGCTTTTGATTTTAAAGGCTGCAAAAAAAATCCTTGTGGGGGGTGTGTGTGTGTTTATTTTCTGACTTGTGGATTTTTTTTTTTTAGCGGCTATATTTGTTTTTTTTTTTTTTTAAATAATAAATTTTATTTTTATATTCCCCATACAATTGCAGCCCCCCCATTCTGACCCCAATCCCTCCCTCCCACCCCCGCCCCCCAAAAAGTGTCTCTGGTTCATAGTTTTTTGTTGATTTTGATTTTCACTTTCTTATAGTTATTCATTTTCCTGGTCCCTTATTTAAGTTTTCTAGATTCCTGCTATGAGTGAGACCATCCGGTATTTTTCTTTTTCTTTCTGGCTTATTTCGCTGAGCATGATCCC